AAAAAAGATCAAGCTAAATTTTTTATCAACAGTATCAACTATGTTAAGAAAGGCAGCAGATTCAGGATAAAAAAAATGCAGTCATAGCTTTGCCTCGTTTTTTTTTTTTTTTTTTTTTTTGTACAATATTAAACAGAATTTAAATTTTACGATTATCAATAATTACTATTGTAGAAAAAAAAACAACTTTAATTTATGCAAACTGTACTTTATTTTACATATATCATTCATTTTTTTTTTCTTTATTTTATACATATATGTATTTTTTTTCAGTAATTAATTACTTGTTTTTTTTTCCTTTTTTTTTCTTCTTTTTTACCTCATCATTTTTATGTCATATGTATTGGTAAAATTAAAATTGAACAAAATAAAGCAAGCAAAAAAAAAAAAAAAACAAAAAAAGAAGGAAGAAAGGAAGGAAAGAGAAGAACAGATTTTCTTCGCAAAGTTCATACAGCTGTAGTCAATAAATTCTCTTTGCTTTTCTTTTCTTTTTTCTTTCTTCTGAAGACCGTTTCTACTAGTTTCCAGAGGATTTAACTTCAGTACGGTTGCCGCTGAAGCGAATTCTTTAGTGTATGTCTGAAACAGGAAAAACACTGAATAAATCCAATAAAAAAAAATCTGGTAAGTAAAGAATCAGATACAGTAAAAAACTAGCAATGATAATATCAATGGAAATATAGATGTAAAAAGTAGGTTAATTTTAGGAATAATTGTGCAATTGATATATTACAGATAACACTTCATTTCCTTATATTTTTTTTAGCGTAAACTTATTTAGAGCAGCCACTGTTTTTCCCCCCAAAAAAAAATTAGTAATTTAAAAGCAGATAAAAACTCTGCTGACTTCACTCTTACTTTTACCTTACAAATTGTTCTTAAGCTTAACAAGCATAAATTACGAAGCTTATTTGATACAGTTTGCTTTATAAAATTGATTACTTAATAAATTCTGACTCTTAAAGTGTCTCTGCTTCGCTTTTACTCCAACTTTTAAGCTTTCAGTCTCCAACTTTTAATTTCTACTGATTTTTTTTTTTGAACTGTTAAAACCTGAATAATTAGAAAAAAAAGAAGGCTTAATAAACTTACTGTATTGGATATGGATTAGCCACAGTTTGCCAGGCTTCTTTCTCTTCAAACTGCCAATAACCTTGTCTTATCTGTAATAACAACAAAACCAATATCCTTTGTTGAAGACAAATCAATAGTTTATAAAAGCTAAAAATAAATGCAGTAAAACTCTCTTAACAGATGTTTATTATTTGGTTTAAAAACAACAGCAAAAAAAAACTCATTTTCTTAATAAACAAAAATAGTGACTGCAATATTATTTAAGTAAAACATAAGCTTTGATACATCTGTATCAGCACCAATGTATCAATATGATTGTACATACAGATATGTAAACCAATTTTATGCATTAAAAAAAAAGAAGCAGACTGCCGCTACTGAAATTGATACTTGCTGTTCTTTTTTTTATTATTGGTAAATTTTAGTTTTTTTGAGAAAAAAACTGTTTCGTAAAAAGCAGTCATAAAAATGGTTCTAATTCCCCCTAAAAAAAACCTATTTTAATGCTAAAAAATTACCAAATTTATATATGTCGATAAAAAGTAATAAATTAGAAGCAAGGTAATTTTGAAATTTGTAAAGTACTTTTTTTTTAATTTTTGGTTGCTTATTGCTCTCTTAACAAATAATATACTGTTAAATAAGTACAAAAAAATAGAAAAGAAAAAACTGTCAGCGCTTTTGAGACATTATTAAATTGCTTATCCGTTTGTCACCGCAGCAAAAAAAGTATTTTGCAAAACTGGCAACAGTAAAAGTTGCAAATGATTTCAATTGCTTTCTTTTAAACAGCTAAAAATTGTTGTTCTTGAAACTTAAAACTTAAACTGCTCTTGTGTTAAATGCAAATTTTCAAGAAACTACAGTTAGACTAAGACTGCACTACAGGTTGTTTAGTTGTTCAGAGTGTTAACTGATAACTGTTAAACCTACTTCTGGCATAGGTTCACGATACGCTGTTTGAAAGATTTCCAGTTCAGCATCTTTTGGAGCTTCTACCGGTATTGCTCTGTAAGAAAAAAAAGCGAGAAGAAATTATTAGTTTAAAGCTAACATTTTTAGTTCAATCTTAAGACAAAAATAATATAATGCTTAATAATCGATAAAAAGAAGAAAAATTTGTGCAATTATACTGACAAAATTTTGATAAATTTTATTACAAATTAAACAAACACCAAAATAATCACAAAACTTTGTTAAACTATACGAAAAAGAAAACAAAAAAAAGATTAAACAAAATATGGTTTTAACAGCTGCAATTTTGTTTTTGCTTAAGTCTAGTCTGACCATAAAACATCGATTGCATTTGAACAACTGTAACATCAAAATTTAAATGAAAAAGTTTTATTAAGCAATTCCATACTGTGCCAAAAAAAAATATGTTAAATTTATTCAGTAACAATACAGTTTAAACACCTTAAACAATAACTTAAATTTGTTGATCACTGTTAGTTTTATGCTTTTTTTTTTTTCTTCTGTTTTATAGTTTATAAGTGTAGTTTAAAAAGCAGCAAATTTACAATTGTTGTTAACCTGATAAAGCTCAGTAATTAATTAAACAACAGCTGTAATAAAAAATTTGATAATTTTTTTTTTTTGGTAATGTTTTTAAAGAAAAATGATTAAGAGGAAAAGCAAAAACGAACGGTATTTCAACTGCTCGGTCATCGTCTAGAAGATGAGCTGCCCAACCACAGTGAAACAGTAATAAGCCGATTATGATCAGGAACAATGCTAAAGGAAGTAACGCTCCAGCTCTGCAAAATTTATTTAAAAAATTGATACACTATAATCAAAATATTCCTATCTTAATTCTTAGACTATATACTTCTTACAATTAACACATTTCTGTCTCCTCAATTTGAGCTGAAACAAAAGTAGTACACAAATATGCCTCATTCTTATTTCCTCAGTATTTGCTTAGATCACTGAAAATGCATTAAAATTTCTTTCATAAACTTCACTAATAAACCTTAATCAATTATTTACAACAAACAAAGTCTGTAGAAGTACTTTTAAATTCACAGACAAATAACTTTTGATTAATTTTTATACTAAAAAAAAACAGAAAACGAATAAATAAATAACTACTGGCAGTAAATTGCTGTTTTTTAGTACAATTTTTTTAGAGTTCCTCTTTAGCCGTGTCAGTCTAATAATTTATCTGCGCCGTCTTAATACGACATAAAAAAGACAATCAAAACTTAAGCAGCATTTCTGACACACATATATATCAGTTTTAATCTAAGCTGAAAAAAAAAAAGAACTGTTATAACTTACAGAACTGAACATGCTACAGCAATACAGGTTAAAAGAAGGGCTAAAAGAATCATTATTCCAGCACCAAATAACAGCACACCGGTAACCAATACACATTTTCTGCAAAAAATAAGACAGAAAAGATATTTTCT